ACTCATTCTTCATAAATAAATCAGACTACTCAAAATTATCTAATCCAAATTAACTATCATCTTTAATATTTTCAATAAAAGATCTAGTCATATTCAATAATAATGATAGCCAACTCTCCAATGATAATATTGAATCACTTTCACTATCTTTCAATATTCAACTATCTAGTCACAGATCATAATGCCAACTCAATACTCAAAATTTACTAATCAATTCATCATACTTATATACAGATAATCCTCCTTTCACAAGTAATACACAACATACTCTACTAATAAACCAAACTTATTATTATCATCAAATAGTCTTTCTGATAACTGCAATAGCTTACCAATATTCAATAATATTAGTTGTAAATTATCCAACACTTGGCAATTTTGCATACTTAATATGTAGGGATTAAACTCTTTAAGTAAAGCAGATAATACTCTTTAATTCTTTAATCAATGCCAAATAAACTTCTTATATCTTACAGAAACAAAACTCAAAAATTGTATAGCAAAATTTTTGTTTCTCAAATCAAAACAATATCATCATCTATTCATTACTAATGATCAATAATCATTCAGATCAGGAGTTAGTATTTTAATCAATCAAGAATAGGCTAAATATATCCAAAAAGTAAATTACATTAATGATCATCTTATTCACATCAATCTTGTCTTTTCTGAAAATATAACAATATACATATTGACTAATTATTTTCTAGCATTTTTGCTTCCTAATAATAATCTTATCAAAAAAAATGCTATGATATATCAACTCAATCTTCTCACAATCTGATTATATAATCCTCCTAGGTGACTTCAATAAGCATTTTTTCAAGATATCAAAAAATGGAGCAGTTGATCTTTTAATATTCAAAAAATTTTATGAAGCTATTTATATACTACATCTACAAAGAGATAATCTCACTTGGTCTCATCAAGATACTAATCACAGACTAGACATGATATGGTATTTACCAAAGATCACATTTCTTTTAATATATACAGCTATAACAGAACCTTAATAGATCACAACTGATCATCTTTCAGTACTTTGTGATATTTCAACCACATCTTTTGCTCATCATACTCCTCTTCACATTCTAAAAAAATGAAAAACCAAGCAATTCACCTATGTAACAAATAATCTTTCAGAAGAAGTTTGGGAAAAATATCAAGAACACATAGATACTCAATGCAATAATATTTTTTTTTCTCTCAATAATAGTATTAACTTCTATTAGCAATTACTAAAAATCATTATCCTTAATATAGCAAACAGCTCACTTAAAAAAAATAGTTGAATCACATATCTTTTCTATCCAAACTATTTGTTATTCTCAATAAAAAACTCAAACTAGTAATATAAACACTTTCTCTCATCTCACAACCCATTCTTTTTATTTCAGAAAATATCATTCAACTCTTAACAAAAAACTTAACAGAACTCATCAAACTAGAACTCACTCTTAACTTATCAATCACCAAATGAAACTCTCTCTTATCAATCAATACACTAATCACAAACTTGCTATAAATCAAAGCTCATCTTTGTAATAAAAAGATCCTACAAGCCTGACAATTAAAAACTTCTCAAATTAATAATACAATTCAAGAAAATATCAAATGGTTTGGCAGTTATTATACCAAAATATTATTCAATATTCTAGAAAAATAAAAGTGTCAAATAATTATTAACAAAATTATCACTTCATCTGAAATATCAGACCATCCTGAGGTTATCAAAGAATTAATCAAATAATATTTTACTAATTGAACTCACCAACATATGACTATAACATAGCCAGATCAAGAATGATAACAATAATACAACCTAATCTTACACATTCCAGATAACATATTCAACTCAGTCTCAAATCTAATTTTAAAAGAAGAATTCCATTATATGCTTACCAATACTAATTCATTCAAATTATCTGGATCTTCAGACATATAATATATTCTATTAAAAAAAGTAACTTTATTCTTTCATTCTCTTCTTCTTTCTCTTTATAATAAATGTTTAATAGAAAAAGATATATCTTCAGAATGGAAATACTTTAACATAATACTCATCCCAAAACTATGTGAATAGGAGAGCAATTTTGACTTAATACATCTAATCATATTAATCAAAATAGCTTGCAAAGGTCTTTATCAATTCTGATATATTGTATCTCTGTAATTTGCAAATAACTTAATATCCTACAAGAAAATAACTTCTCAGTACTCAAAGACACATCTATTATCAGTTTTATTTACATCATAAATAGCATACTCAAAAATTCACATAAAAAAATCAGAAAATCTGATATATCTTCCAAGATATATACCATGCCTATAACTCTGTCAGTTGGCATATACTAGAACTAGCCTTATAATATATTAAAATAAACTCAACTTACATCACATTTTGTAAAAATATTCACATAATATGTTAAAACCAAATTATAATTGAATATGGACTTACTATATCTTATCCTGTTCTGAATGATCTTAACCAAGGTGAAGTTAATGCACCTATACTCTGATAGATATTTTATGATCCCTTACTATATCAAATAAAAATATAATATTCATCACAAGGATATATCATGACATCCAAGTTAATATCCACTCCCACTCAATTACCTCACCAAATTCATCTGACAATCAATAATCTGATCTTCATTGATGACACAATTTGGATCACCAACAGTCACCAAGTAATACAACAGATTCTCAACACTGCATCCTAATTCTATAATATGTGTGACATTGAAATCAACCCAAAAAAAACTGAAGCAATTTACTACAAATCAACTAAAATACCTTCTAATACAGAACTTTATATTAGGACAACTAGCAATCAAATATAAATACTCCCTTTAAATATCTGCACTAAATATCTTAATCTATACATTAATGTAAATGGCACTTTCAATACTCAGTTAAATAAAATAAGGTCAGATATCACACTTATATCTAACTTATTAAGTCGCAAATGCATAATCAACAAACAAGCTATCTATATCATCAACTGAATGCTTATCCTAGTATTCAAATATCACTCCTAACTCTTTGTTATATCTAAAACTGAATGTGATAAACTAATGAAACAACTAAAAAAAGTAGTCAAATCCAAAGCAAGATTACCATTATCATTTTCTAACTTAGTTTTATATCATTTAAAATTTTTTGCTCTAGATTACTTATGGTTTATTCAAACTCATGCAAAAATCATAAAGTTCTTTTATTATCTAAATGATTCTCTTATTCTTGACCTAGCAATATATATTTGTTTATACTGTCTTCAGAAACAAAGATGACTTCATCACTTAATAATTTTACATCCCATATCAGAACTATCACCATAAGGAAAAAACTTAATAGCATTTATTCTTCTACTTATGTATGAATACAATATTTTCTTCACTAATTTAAATATCAATAGTCATCTTCTCACAAATAGTCACACAAGATAGTTTATCAAAAACTTTCTTCAATTCTGGTCAATATACAAAACATACTGTGATATCTTATATAAAGATCTTATTATATCCCTATAACAACTATCAAGTTATATCAATTCTTATCTTATAATATAGAAATAATACAAGAGCTAATTCTGAAACAGTAAATATAGTCCTAAATCCCTATAATATAATTAACTAGAAAATATTATTCTTAATAACTCTGCATTATCTACTCACATTATCACAAATAAAACAGACAAATAGCAACAATCTTTACTTCAAAGTGAATTACTACCAATTAACAAATATTTAATAGCATCATCTGAAACTAATACTTGATTTTCTACTAAAGAAAATCTTTTTTATCTCAATAATATAGATATTTTCACTAATGATTCCATTCAACAAATACATATATCGTATATAAAATCCAGTTCAGCCTGAACAACTTAGTCTTCAAATATTTCTTTTACTCATCATTCTTCTACAATCATCTCAATAACTACATCAGAAATACAAGCTATCTGCACTTTAACAGAAATGCTTACCAATAATACCACTCTTTAAATTTTCACAAATAGTTAAGTAACAATCAATAATTTCAAAAACAATATAACTTTTTACAATAATCTCAGCAAGAGATGATCTTTACAGAATAGTAACTGGTATTTATGAAAGATCATCAATCACAATATTATAGAAAAAAATCTAAATCTCAATTTGCAAAAAGTCAAAGGATACTCCAATAATCCTGGCAATGACCTGATAGATATCTTAGCCAAATCAACTTCTTCTTCTTATTCTATTTCAACTAACTTTAACTCACTTCCTAAAATATCCTATATTTCAGTTTTTAATCTCTCACTATCTATAATATCAAATCTTCACAATTTTCTTAAACTTCAGAATAACAAATATAATATTACCAAATGACAACTTTATACACTAAAAAATAACTTCATAAATTGCAGTCTATAGTTTACAATAGACTAGAAAGTAATTAATTTCACATGAAATCAAGATAAAGGAATTAACTTACTAATAGCCTCTGCAAATACATTCAAATTTCATATATATTTTACTAAAATAATTCACAATATGCTATTAATACTATCTAATCAATACAAATTTTATCTATTAATAATACTCATATGATATGTATAATAGATATCATCTTGAATCAGAAATAAATAATTACTTATATACTTGTCCAATTTCAAGTGATTTAATCAAATTTATTCTTATCAGTGTTGTCATTTGGACATGTCCAATAAAAAATTGACTAGACAATTTATTATTGGACAACTGGACATATCCATTTAGTATCTAATTGAAATTAGATACAGTTGTTATTGGACATATTTTGATTATTTAATATAAAAGTTTGGACTATGTCCATTTGAATACTGTCCAATTAGAATAAAAATATATATATAATTATAACAAATTTTATTTGAAAATAAACTTTTTATTTTATACTAATTCTTATTTACTATCTAATAATAAACTATAATAGCTTGATTGTCCAAAAGATATATCAAACAAATCTTTTATATTCTATTTTGTGTTATTATCATCAGCTGGATGCAAACCTTCTTGAACTTGCTCCAAAGTATTCATAAAATCATTATTATCTTCAGTATTAACTTCATTAAGTGGTTCTAATAAATCTTGATCATTCTCAAAACTTTCATTTTCAACTAATTCTAACCAACATTTTACTATAGATTTCTAATCATTTATTGATGTAATATTTCCATCAGATTCTTCATGATTGAAATTTATTGATTCATCTGAGTCTGATTCTGTATCTTTATCTGAGAGAGTATTAGACAAGTTGTCAGTTATTGAGTTTTGTTAAGTATTATTATAAATTGGCCTTGTTGCAATATTGGAATTTCAAATTTGAGTAGCCTGTTTTTCTACATCTTTAAATTATCATTGTTGTATAATCTCTTCTTGCAATTGAGACATTTTCAATACCTTTTCCAACTATAAATAAAATATTAATATACTAATATTTAATTTTAAAATTAATAAATATTTTACCTTTAACCAATTTCTACGTGCATTATGAATCTATCTTATTGATGAAAAAAGTCATTCAACAGATACACTTGAAACTACTATTGAGAAAATTCGTATTGCCACTTTATATAGTTCCATAGTATAACCATTGATATGATTCCAATATGATAATGGATCTTTGAATTTATTGAAAGTTTCTGCATCAAATAGATGTTTTTCATAATGATAAGCTTCCAATTCTGTGAGAATACATATAGGTTGTTGTTTGAATTAGATAGAGTAATAATATTTCACCTATTTTCCAAAATATACCCATGTCAACTGATTATAAGACTTGTTGAATTTTAAAATACGGAAATCAGGATGTAGTACAAATAACAAAAATAAAAGTGACTGTTCCTAAGATTTCTATCATTTTTGCAGTTTGGATAAAAGATAGTCTTTAAGATCTTCATCTTCCAATCCTTTCAAAATGTGTACCATCCAAGAGAAACCATGAAGTACTTCATACAGTCTTGCTCTATCAGTTTGTAGTTTGTTAAGAGTAGCACAATAAGATGATATAATTAATTCCAATTGCTTTAAATTTTATCACCAATCATTATTATTTAGATTGTTCAGTATGTTGAAAGAAAAGTTGTATAATGAAGTGTCAGTTGCATTCTCAATTTTAGTCATTAAATGCTATATAAAATAAAAATTATATTATTAATAATATATTCTAATATTATAAATATTAATAAATTATATATAGTATATCTATCTTTAATGCTCCTTTTGTTTTTAAAATACTAGAAAAACACAAAAAATAACTATTCCACCAAATATCATTTGAAATTACCAAAGCTACAAATTTTCTATTATAGACTGTAGCTTGCTCATCAAGTAATTTTCCATGCCAAAACTCAGATCGGTGAAAAAATATAACAACTTTAATAGTCTGTTCTGCAATTTCTGAAAGCTGATTCAATTTTTTGAAGATGTCTCCTACACAAAGATTCATTTGGTGTGCAAAATATGATAGAAATAACTTTTCTCAACACTCTCTTCTTAAACATAATCTAAATAATGATAAATTTTAGAAAATAAATTAAAAATAAATTCAATAAATAACTAAATATCTTGCTGTTGCATATTCTGCTGCTGAATCTGTTACAACACCAATTACTTCAATTCCTTTATTTTTAATACTTTCAATAAGTCTCTTAGTCATTTGAATAACTATTTATCACTTTTTTCATGTTCTAGATAAATTTTCAACATCCCAAATCAACTATTTTCCTTCAGATATTACTAAAATAACTTCAAGAATAGACTATTTGGCAACGTTCTTCTAACCATCATAAGCTAGTATGACTCTCAATTCATCTTTGATAGCTGATTTAATAATTCTATTCTCAATAGCTTGTGTTTCATTATGCAAAATATGTCCTGCCAACTCTTGTCATCCTGACAATTGGATCATTGAATTGTAAAAGTGAAATAATGCTTGTACCTCAGGATTTTTAACCCAATTGAATGACTAATTTACAGAAATTATTGCATGAATTGCCAATGATTTGAGTTTTCTTTTTTGTATATCATTCAAAGGTCATGAAACAAAGTTATCCAATATTTTATTATCACCTACTGGAGTAACATATTATTTTTTATTGGATTTTGATGTTATTGCTTCGTTTGATATATCAAAAAATTTAAATATAAATTTATTAGCATTTAATAGTTTTAAATATTACATTTAAAATCTATCTATTACCAACTTGTTTCTGTTTTTGATTCAAACTTATGAAAAAATCATATTCATCATCATATAATATGTATTGGCATTCTTCTTCATTGTATTTTTGAATAAAATGAGGATATTCTTTTAAATAGTTTTGACAATATTTTTGAGTATTAGTAAATTTATCTTTTAATGCTTCTTTTCATCCTTTAGCCTCAATACATAAGAGATAAATAGCATATCAGTTATAAGTATTTGAATATTCATTTAATATTAAAATCTGATAACTGATATTTTTTGAGTGGCATATTGTATGAAATAACAAAAAATTTTACGATCTCAATTATTTCTATTTAAAGTAAAAAATTTTTTATTTCCAGAGATATCATACATCAAAGTTGTACAATTTTTTTATAATACAAAGAGAATCAAGTTAAGCATATTGAATAGAATAATAAAAAATTTTATGATCTCAATTATTTCTATTTAAGATAAAAAATTTTTATTCTCAGAGATATTATATAGCGTAAAGTCAAAACATAATATGAATCTGCAGGTAGCTAGAGGAAAGTGGAAATTGATAGAGTAATACAGATTTAAATAGGAAGGGGTCATTATCAATAGTATAATTGTGACATCAAATTGTGAGACAGAAATATGTAATTAGCTATAATAGGATAGTTGTACTAGCAAGCATGTAGACAAGTTGCAGTGAGAATAAAGATGCACTTATATTATAAGTAAAGCATTATCATTTAGTTATATAGTTTCTCTGATTCCATTCTCTTTCATGGGTTAGAAGTGTGGAAGTAAGTAATAGCAGGTGGGAGCTGTGATCTTTCTTTTCTCATATTATAAGTATGACGAGGCACAGGGTCTCTATTTCTCATGTTACAAGCATGGGAGAGACATTCATCTCGATTTCTTATGTGACAGATAGTAAGGGCATATACTTTATTGCTCAAGCAGTGGCAGCATAGCATCCCTATAAAAACTCATTATCTGAAAATTGGCTGATAATTAATTAATAAAATATCTGATATTTGTGCTCAAAGTAAGCTCTTCTATCCCTTTTTCGCATGCATAGAACATTTTCTGTATAAAAAATGGTTGTGTAAAAATATTGTTTTAAATTCTGAATGTTTACCATACAAAAATGAGCTCAAAGTGAGCCCATCCCATATCTTTCCATATGCAAATATCAGCATATGTATTATTGATAGTATTAATAAAGCTTAACAATAATATCTCTTCTCAGTAATCACTGTTCAATTAAATAGAATGAGTTTTATTATAGTAATTTTATAAATAAAGATATAATTATATTGTAATATAAAATTCATTAATTATATTGTCCAATTAAAAAATTTATATAGTCCAATTAAAAATTTTTGGACACTTTGGATTTGTCCAGTTGGACATATTAGACACGTATCTAATTGGATTGGACAAATTTGTGACTACACTGATTCTTATCAAATTTCAAGTCAAGCTTGAAAAAATTCTCACAAAGCACTTTTCATCAAATAATACTCAGTATTCTCCCTCCTTGCTTAGCTTCAAAATCAAAAACTTCACAAAAAAATCTTATTTTCTCAATAATGCTAATTCATCTTCTAATACAGATCACAAATCTGGATATATACTTATCTTCAAAAATTTCATTCTATTAGAGCTCACAAATTTTATCAAATCACTCAGTCCATCTAAATCAGAAACTTTCACACTATCAGCAAAATTTGTAACTTGATTTTCCAAACAAGGTTTTACTCATATTTAACTAGCTCATTGTAATAATCAAATTCAAGTAAAAAAATCAAATTCCATCTTTGTCAGACACAAACACATTTTCAAAAAAAGAATAAGAAGACCCAAAATAATAATATCCTCTAATCTCAACACTAATATTTTTTGACTTCACATGGAAAACTATCTTTACTCATACAAGTATTCAGCTTTTACTCATATTAATAATCAATATTCTGATGATGATCTTGCTGATTTCCAAGGAGATCAAATAATCTTACTAATATATACTTTTCAAGCTGAAAATAACTTGTTCATTAATTCTTTAGGCTTTATATAATCACAGATATATTTAGATGGCTAATTATATCATGATTCTCTTTTATAGATTTTCTAATAGCTCTTTTCCTTAAACTTTAATTTGTAATTCTTACTTTGTAAGTTAAATTAGCATAGAATTAGAGTGTGACTATACTGTAGCAAATAGGAATAATAATAATAATAATAATAATAACTTTAATAATAATAACTCAAGAAATTCTATTACTTACTATAATTATAAAAATTATAAAAATACTAATTATATTATTAATAAATATACTAATTCAAGAAAAAATAATAATAATTAAGATAATAATAATCATAATAATAATAATAATAATAATAATAATAATAATAATAATAATAATAAACAGAATATTTACTTGAATATTGAGAAATATTTAAACTTTTAAATATACTTTTAGAAAATAAAAGTATATTTATAAATAGAAAATCTTCATTTAATAATAATCAACTCAAGAAATTATTATTAGAAAATGAAAAAAAATTAGTAAAATTAATTAACATCTATAAATATTATATATATAAATAAACTAATTAATGCCTAATTTTATAAAATAATAATTGATAGTAATGCTATTAATAATATAGTTACTTAATAATTCTTAAAGAAGATAAACTAAAAAATTCAAAGATCTAGTATAATAAATCTAATTGATATTAATAATTAGAAAAAAAAGTACTTAGAGAAATAATTAACTTATTAATTACTTTAAAAATTAAATTAATCAAGATTAAAATATTAATAACTATAAATAATAATTATGATCTTATTTTGAAAAATAGTTAATCTTATATTTATAAAGTAGTTATAAACTAAACTAAAAACTTATTATAGTTTGAAAATAAGAAAAATCAAGTTAAAGTATCTATAATCTGTTTAAAAAAGTATTATAAAATAATAATTTATTTAATATTAATAAAAAAATAGAACTTAAAGTCTTTAATAGTAATAATAAAAAAAAATATTAGAATATACTTATAAAATAGATATTAGTTTTGATTTGAAATATTTAAAATAAAGATATTATCTTAATTAATTATAATTTATAATAGTTAATTAAAGAATTATGATTAATTATGATAGCTAATTAGAGAATTATAATTAAATTATAATACTATCTTTAATTCAGAATTAGAAAATCTTGTTATTTCATTATAAGAAATTATAATAATAGATTCATATATTATAATTAAGATACTAAAAGAAATATTTTGTTAACTTATCTCTAGATTTTTTTAGCTTATAAAGAAAAGTTAATATTATAAATACTAGATATACTAAAAATATTAATTTATTAATTTATAATAATTCTAATTAATTATATATTATATAGTTCAATAAAAAATAACTAAGCAATATTCTTATTTTTAGTAAATTTATACAAATTTAACTAGTATTAACTTATAAAGAATTTAGTAATTCAGAAAGAGATTAATAAGATTTTGATTTAACTAATAGATTTAAAGAAAAAAAGTCTTTAATAGAAAAAGAAAATATAAAT